ACTGATATTTCTTCAATTTTGCTACATTTTCTGTTTTGGAAATTTTGTAATTTAAATCTTAGACTACTTGGATTAGCTCTATAATTTAATCTTTACTGTTTCCCATGTCTTGAATTCTTAACTTTACACTGTTAGCAATTTCTCTAATATAAAATAATAAACTTTTTTCACTTCTACTATATTTTTAATTCTCCAGTATTCTATTACAACTATGTTTCTTTAAAAATATATTTCCTGTTTATTTTCATTCACATAACATTATTTTTCTAGTAACATTAATTGTGGCTTTTTAAATACATAACTTTACTAAAACACATTGGGCATATGATGTAACTCAAAAATTTCAAGTATTAAATTCAAGGTTATTTTGGTTAACCTACCAAATTGTGCAAACCACCATAAATCAGTTCTAGATTATTCCCATCATGCTAATAAGTTCCACTTGTCCATTAACTGTTCATTTTCATTCCCCTGACTTCCCTCTGCTTCACATAAGTGAAGTGCCTTGAATAATTTCTGGTACTAAGCACAATTTTATTATTGGTCCTAGGGATAGTATTAGGGATGTTGATTGACTAAGTGCACTAGTTTCAGCACATTATTCTGATATAATGTTTATGAGAAAAGCTTTTAATAAGAATGTGGACGCATTGCTTGTACAAGGAAATACTTGGCAGCAGTCTCTATGAATCAGGTTTTGTTTTTATTAATTAGAATGAGAAAAATAGTGTTATGGTTTAGATATAAGGTATCCCCCAAAAGTTCATCTGTTAGAGGATGCAAGAAAAGTTAGAGATGAAATGACTAGGTTATTAGAACCTTAACCTAACCAGTGCATTAATCTTATAAATGGATTAAGTGGATGGTAATTGTAGGTAGGGCATGGCTTGAGGAGGTAGGTCATTGGGGGTGTGCCCTTGAAGTTTATATTTTGTCCCTGATGAGCGAGAGTACTCTCTCTGCTTCCTGGCTGTCTTAAGCCTCTTTCTTCCTCCACACCTTTCTGCCATGATGTTCTGACTTGTATTGGTCCAGAGCAATGAGGCTGGTCATCTATGGATTGAGACCTCTGAACCTGGGAGCCTAAATAAATTTTTCCTCCACTAAAATTGTTCTTATCAGGTCTTTGAATCACAGTGGCAAAAGCTAACCAACACAGTTAGTATCTTATTTCTAGGTCTATAAGGTTAGTAGCCAATGTGAACTGAGCAAAGAAATCACAGTACTCAAAACCAGGGTAAGTAACTAATATACTTTTTGTCTTGATACATTTGCCTTTTATGGGCATCCTATGAATGAAATTATGTAATATTGATCTCTCCTGTCTGTCTTTCAGTTAGCATATGTTTTTGAGGTTCATGTAAGCAGTTTATGTTTCTAAACAGAATTCTCTTATATGGATACAAGAACATTTATTGTTTCAAATTTGAGGTTATTATTAGCAATGTTACTGTTATAAATACATATCTATTTCTTTTTATTAAATATCATAAAAGTAGGTTTTTTATCTTATAAATTTAATTTTTCTCCTTTCTCAGTGGTCCATCTTACTTACAATATTTCCCATTCCTGATTGTTTATTTTGGTATCTATATTTTAATATTAGAAGTCTTCCTGAATCATGAGTTCAAAGCCAGCCTCAGGAAGAGTGAGGCACTAAGCAACTCAGTGAGACCCTATCTCTAAATAAAATACAAAAAGGGCTGGGGATGCGGCTCAGTGGTTGAGTGCCCCTGAGTTCAATACCTAGTAACTGCCCCCACCCTCCATAAAAAAAAAGTTTTCCTGAGATAGCATGAAATTTTTGTTATCTTCTCATATTTAAAGATTAAGGGAACAATATATGGGGAATTCTGTGCAAGATTCTTTATTTTGTGAGTTCATGGTAATCTAGCTGGATTAGTGAATTAGATAATCCCTTTGTGTCTGTGTTTTTTGACCTTTCTATTTGGCTTGACCTGATTCCCTAGGTAAGATACTTCTATTTGCTGCTGACAGGTAAAACATACAGAATATAACTTTTATCTGATCTCAGAATTCACTGGGATAATCCTGGCCCTCAATTGTGTCCAATTGTTTTCATTTGTTTGTGAAATGTCTCCCATTTCACAAACAAAAGTTCTCCATAAAATAAGCCTTTAATATGTGCCATGTGAGTTGAGAGACAGTAGACTTTTTTTAATTGTGAGGGAGAATGGGGATCTGAAAGCTCTGTAAGCAAGTACACATCTGACTCTCTAATTACTGAATAAAGAGTTTCTACCTCCTAAAATCTGGTTGTTCGTTAATTTCAGTAGGAGAAAACACTGATGAGTTATTTCAATTTATGTTTTTGAAACACCTGATATTGAGAAAGAGGGTAGAATGTCTAAGCTGATCTTTCATTATACCCACTACATTATTATTATGTTTTTATGTAATCAAAAAGAAATAATGTCTCTTCACACAAAATTCAGTGTCATAGTGGATTAATATTTAATTGATGTTCCTTTTCTGTGTGTCTGTGCAAGTGCGTATGTTGTTATTGCTGTTACTTTAAAAATAGAATGTGAATCTAAGGGATATTCACTTTAATGATGCTTTTGCAACTTGCAAAGCTATGATTGAAGGTAAATATTGTTTATCATGTTATCGAAAATCTCCTAAGTAAAAAAGTTCAGAATATACTAAATTATTTTCATAAATGACCAAGAAAAACAAATCTTATATGAAATAAACTTACATTCTTTCATTCATTAGATCATAATTGCTACATAAGTCAACATAGTGCTATTTTTGCCTCATTTACCAGGAAAATAAAAGTAGAATTAATGCTAAATTGCAGTAGTCAGGGTATGTTAAACCTGAAATACCATTAATGTCTTTTAAAATATATTTTGGTGGAAACGTGTGATGGTACTACTTTTTTCTTGAATTATTTCTTACTTTTTATAGAATAGTCAAAACATAAACTTTAAATAAAAATGTGTCAAAGGTGAATTGAATTCAACACAGAGAAATAGCAAGTATCATCTTTCATCCAGTTTCATTTTATCTTCCCAGTGACATGGGTTTTTAATGAAAAATAAAGGTTTGAAGATTCATAAGAATTCTACTGAGGAGATCTTTGTTGGTGAAGAGCAGAATTGATCAAAATGCAGTAAAATCCTCCTTGATGACAACACAAATACTCAGTTGTCTTTTCCCTATTTATCACACTTTACACAGAACACATAGACCCTTTAAATAATAAAAAATGACTGACATGAATATGGACTGGGCCTTACATTCAAATTTATAAGGCTTAAATGTAAAAATAAAATACAGTAATATATCATATGAAAAACTTCTTTATTTTTGCTACATCAAATAATAAATTGTTGGTATAGGCTCAATGTTTGTGCTTCCCATGCCACCAAAAAAAATCATTAGTGCAAATCTAATCCATAATAATATTTGGAGGAGAAGCTCTTGAAAGGTGATTCAATCAAGAGGGCTACTTATAAAAGAGGCCCCAAAGAGATGTCAGCTCCTTCTACCATGACAGGATGCAGTGAACTGGGAAGCAGGCCCTCACCAGTCACCTTATCTGCCCAGAATCAGCTTGAACTTCTCAGCCCCCAGAACTAAAAGAATTAAATTTCTGTTGTTTATAAGTCATTGAGTTGATGATATTTTATTATGGAAATCTTAATGGATTAAGATAATGCTTAATCACTTAGATGTGAAAGCACTTGTCTTCTTTTAACCTATAATTAAATAATTTTTGAATTCAACATTCTTCAAATTTTAGGCATGGCTGCCAAACCATCTTACATATTTAAATATTTGGTATGTTTCTCCAGTCATTCATTTCTGATTTTCTTTGATTGGCGATTGCTTTTTGTGGTATGAATCATAGGGACCACATTCAAATGAAAGCTTTACTGCAGCAGAAGAAATGATAATAAAGCTCCATTTGTTATCCCAAAAGCTACAATGATACCACCAGAAAACACCTCAGGAAAACTGAATTATTCCCTGCTGGCCACAACATCTACCTATATAAATTCCAACTATATATTTAATAAGAAAACAAAAATCTACCCCATTAATCTTATGCTTTTTTTAGTTTTTTTATATACAAAGATATGTTGTTTTTGTCACAAATTGGATAATTACTTGGACTACTGAAATATATACAATTGACCTAAGTCTAACAGTTCAGGTGATTTTACCTTAGATCCCCTTCTCCCCCCAAAGTAAGATCTTATCAAATTTCTGTGTGATTTATAATAACTTTGGGGTATATAAAGAAGAAATATAAACTATTTCTTCACAAATATAAACTATAATGTGAACAATATTATACAATAGTGCATTACCTAAAATCATTATTTCATGAAGAATCTAATTTAAAAGGTGATATTTTACCAAGGATATAAAAACTACTTTCAACCACATGCTGTAACCATATTAAAATATACTGCATGTAGTCATCAAAATTTCATCTTCTATACTTCTAACTTGCTTTAAAAATTACCAAGTTTCTTCTGGCTGGTCTTCCAATATGCCTGCAGTTTTCTTTTGGTTGTACAAAGGTCTTTAATTTGAAGATTGAGAAACATGAATTTCAACACTTACTAACTTCTCTTCATTTTGCTTCCTTCTAAATGCTAACATAGGCAGTTGGAGAATACCTTACAAATCTAAGTTACTTTGAGAAATTTTCTTGTATGTCAGAACCTTAAGATTATTTAGAATTAATTTTATTCCTGACAATGTTCTAGAAACTGTTAACCTTAGATCTACAAAATGCATCCACATCCTGGTCTGTAATAGAGAATATCCCCCTAGACAGCAATATTTTGTGAAGTTCTGCCCTAGTTTACTTAAACAGCTGGTAAGTTTTTAGCTTTTGAGAATTGATACTATGTATGCATACAGTATTCTTTTTCACTTTCTATAGGGCTCTTTCAGGAATCAGTTTCTATGTTTATCAAACTAAACATCAAAAGTAGAATATGTCGATATTTCCAAACCTCAGATGTAGTGAGTTTCTGAGATTCTGTCCTGTAGATTCCAATGGGAACATCCCCAGTAGAAGAACACAGCTTCTGATAAAGTCTGGCATACGTTCTGATCCATAAGTCATCCTCGGTGATTTTCATCTATAATACATACAAATTACTTACATAATAAATGTTTTAAGAAATAAGTGAATTATTTTTCTCTTCTTCCAGGCAGAATTTATTAACTTTATTTATTTATTTATTTAGTAGTTTTAAATGGACCAAATGCCTTTATTTTATTTGTTTATTTTTATGTGGTTCTGAGGATCAAACCCAGTGCCTCACGCATACTAAACTTAAGAAATTTAAATACTCAATTTGGGACAGTATAACATTATGATAGTCCAATATTAACATGTAATAGGACACTGGGAATCAACTGTGAGATACTGTAGAACAAGTAGAGACATTCTAAAATGTTACAATAACTGGAGGCTGCATCGCATCCAGAATTTAGTGGAGAAAGTCTTCTGGTGCTACAAAATGTAAAGATACTCCACTGCACAAAAAAACTTATCCTACACTTTCTTCTTAACAATACTCATATTGAAAGAGGTGTAGTGGAATGAGCACAGGGCAAACAGCAAACATTAGTTGTGGTCCCTCTTTGCTATTTGTTAATCTGGACTGTTAGCAAACCACTATATTCAATGCCCTTGAACACAGCACACTCCTATAAAACAGAGGCTGGTCCAGATATGGTGGCATGGGTGACTCAGGAGGCTGAGGCAAAAGGATCACTTGAACCCAGGAGGCTAAGACCAACCTGGGTATCACAGTGAGACCCTGCTTTAGGGGGAAAAAATTAGGGGAATGGGAAGTTAAACTCCATGATCACAGTTTTCCTGGAAAACATGCCATTCTATATCTGAACCTACTTGCCAGCTAGAAAAAAAAAATTGGTCTCAATTTGGTACAGAATGACTACTTGTTTGATTATTGATTAAAAATTATTTCCTGAAAACATTTTTTATAATTATTTTTATTGGTATGTTATGACTATATGTGACAGTAGGGTTCATTTTGACTTACTTGCACATGCATATAACATAATATGGTCAATTTCATTCCCTAGTACCTCCTCTTCCTGAAACAATGTTTAAGCAAAAAAAAAAAAAAAAAAACTCAGATATAACTCCTCTTTGGACACACATTAGTAAAAAATTACATAATTATACAAGAGTTAAACCAAAGTACATGCTGAATGAATTTTAGAACCTTGTATCACAACAATCGTCTATTCCAGAGATAATTAACTTACAGAACAAAGAAACCCTGATCCTGGTATAGTGTCCAGTCCCAACAGGAGTCTAGTGATAGAAATCATATAATCCTTTACAAATGACTGAAATATAAACAAAATATGTATGTATTATATACATGATATATGTAGAAAAGCTGGGAGATAAGACACCTATTTCTAACACATAACTTCTCATAACACATCATTAAATATCCATAAAAAAGTAAATTAAAAAACTGTCTTTTCAATATCCTCAGTAAACATGTACATTTTACATGTTTAGAAAATACAGAAAATAATTATTATTTAGAAATATCTTAACATGTCTAAATTTTATGTGTTATTAGGCAAGACAGAACATTTTAGATGTTTTAATAACAAAAAACTACAAACTGAAAAAAGATGAATATCATAAAAATATTAAAGTGAATTTGCAATGAGTTACTTCAGTTTTTTAGTGTTAAGTTCAATGTATATAAATAAACATTGAACTAAAATTTTAAATAACACATCATTTATTATTATATAGATTCTCTTTTTCAATCACTGCACATTAAAATGGAACCTCTAAATAACTTTTTTTTTAAAGAGAGAGAGAATTTTTTTAATATTTATTTTTCAGTTTTCGGCAGACATAACATCTTTATTTTATTTTTATGTGGTGCTGAGGATCGAACCCAGTGCCCCACACATGCCAGGTGAGCACGTTACCTCTTGAGTCACATCTCCAGCCCTTCTAAACAACTTTTGATTTTGAATCATCATATATGTCTGGAATGACAGAGCATCTATCTTATTGGAAAAATTGAAAACTAGAACACAGTCTTTATAGACATACAAAGACTTTTATTAGTAAGATATTACAAAATGTGTCATAAAACATCATTCCCTGGGCTAGGGGTATCACTTAGTGGTAGAATGCTTGCCTAGCACACATGGGACTCTGGGATTCAATCCCTAGTAGTGAAAAAAAAAAGTGAGAAAGAAAAGAAAAAAAATTATTCACAATAGTTCAAGAGCTATTAATAGCCTATGAAAAGCCCACTTGAGGAATTTATCTAGATTTTACTAATTCTGAAGTCCTCTAGTTAACTGTTTTAAAAACAAGTCATGAAGTTCAAAATTGTAACCAGCAAATTGAAACAGAAAAAAGTCATCAAGATAAAAAATAACATAGCAGATTATAAGTGTGTTTTATTGTGAGATTTTTCTTCCAGTTATACACACAAACACCTGTATGTATATATATATATATATATATATATATATATATATATATATATATGCAGATATCTATTAGATTGAAATGCAAAATAAAATGTTTGCTTTGTTATAATCCCCAAAATTTAAAACCTGTAGTTCTAAATCATTCTTTCTGCAAAAGCTTCAGAAAACAACTAATTTCCTTAACTCTGTTTATAATATAAAATATGAGGCAAAAATGAAGAAGTAAAAAAAACTTCAGCTTTCCCTTTCTACAAAGCTTTCCTTCTATTTAATGTATATATTAGACTTTCTCATAGTATGTAATTTCAATAATGGATACTGCAGCCAAAAAATATGAAAAACTACTGGTTCAAAATAGCACCCAAGCATTTGTTTGCTATTGACTTAAATCTTCAGTTCAGACAATTCTGTTTAAACAAACTCTACCCTGCAGTCATCTTTTTAAGTGATAATAAAAGATTGTGTGTTTGGGGTGGGAGCTCTGCCTTCTGGAATTCCTGGTAATGTGCCTGGTAACTTTGGGTCAAATGGGAATATTTATTCTCTTTGTTGGGCTTGCTCTTGCACTCATCTGGTATCAGCAGATGGTTCCTGACATGGCTAGAGACATATTCATGGACAAAATTGGCCCAAAGGCCAGCAGAAAAGTTTTAACTATCTTTGGATTCATTTATTCAGTCAAGCAATTATAGAAGACTATACGTTAATATATAATCAAAAAGAACAGGAACAATCAAATGCTTAGTTTGAGATTAGTGTTGTCAAATAATTTAAAGTCCTATGAACATCATTTTCCTTTTAATGGAAACATTTAGGGATTGTCTGCTCACTTTAATCAGAGAGTATGAAATATTATTATTGTTCAGTTGTTGGCAGGAATAATAAAAGATTATATTTGTGTGAAAGAGCATCTCCATGAATCTCTTAGCAATGATACAATGACAATGTTAACTTGGCATTCAGGAACAAACTAAATGGTTCTTTGTTATTGTAAAACCTTTTTTATGATTTTCTAAAGTAAGAAAAAATCAGAAGATGCTTAAATGTGTCCTTAGTTTATCAGTTTATCAATATAATTTGATACTTGATACCAAAATGGCAAAAAAGTAGACTAAGAAGAATGTTGTCTCTTTTTTAACTTAGTATTTTTCTTTATCATTTTTAAAGTCTAGAAATATGTTTGGAGTAATATGAAAAATGTATTAAAATGTCACATTGCAGAGAACTGGCACCAAAACAAGAACAACAACAAAGCCTAACAATAATTCCTAACAACAAGAACAACAACAAAGCCTAACAATAAATAATGTTATTTAAAAACAATGTTTTTAAATAACATTTTTCTTATAAAATGTTTCAGAGGAGCATTTATGTAATTAACTACATGAAATAAAACAGAAAATCATTTGAGAGCCAACATTAGTTAATAGCCTTAAATTTTATTGTTGGTTATTTAAACAAAATATAGGCTGAATATGAAATAACCATCTTTGAGAAAAAAAAAGAATATCACATACCTGATATAGAAGAGTGTCCAACATACTGATGCTAAAAACCCTTCCAGCGGCAAAAGGCAGTCGAAACATGAAGGCTAAATTAGAACCTCTCTCCCGTTCTTTCTATTTAGAAATTTTAGAGAGGAGAATCTATGAGCATTCTGTTTTATGTATTTTTGCCTAGGTAAATTCTGTTGACAAAATAGATTCTTACTGCACAGTTCTTGGTCATTGAATCAAATGCAAACACATACTAAAGTCACATAATATACGATAGCATAAGATTTGCTTTTAAATATTCACATATATGGGAACAAATAAGGCTGCTATCGTCTTGCATATTTGTGTCTCCTTAAAATTCATACCTTGAAATTCTAACTGCCAAGGTTATGGTTTTAGAAGGTGGGGCTTTGGGACATGATTAGGTGATGGAGGAGAAGCCCTCATGAACAGGCTTAGTGCCCTCACAAGAGACACAATCCCTTCCCGTGTGCCATCTTCAAACCAAAAGCAGACCCTCACCGTCCACCAAAAGAGCCAACACCTCGATTGTGGACTTAACTTCCAGAACTGTGAGAGGTAAACACGTGCACCAGCCTATGGTACTATGTTGTTCCCCAGACAGACCAATACAGGCCCACCACATCCAGTAGCTTCTAGCTTTCCATCATCTTTATTTACTTCTCTGCCTCTTAAGTAGCGTCAGCCACACAAATTTGCAGGTAAGCTTCTGTAAATTTCCAAAACAAACAAACAAACAAAAAACACCATTGTTTAAGTGTGTGTGTGTGTGTGTGTGGTTTTATGATGTACAGTGGTTTCTTTAACAAGAATTATTGCTGTTATCTTCCCTACTAAATGAAAGAATGAGAGCAAATATCAAAGTTTGAAAGGAAAAAAAAAGTTTGAAAGGAGTTTCTTAAGGAAACCTGGTTACCCTTGTACTTGACACATGATAACCTAAAAATTGCTAGTTTCTTTTGCTGCCAACTTTACAAGGAAAGATTGATACAGCTAGGAAAAGAAGAAAACAATCTTCACCAAGTGAAGCAACTGAGCTAAGCTCCTATATCTAAAGTGGAAAATTTAGGGAAATAAAGCTTCCTTCCCATTCACCCATGTTAAAAATGGGTAGGAAGAAATACTTCAAAGGAGTCTCAGAGAGGAACTAGCACTACTGTTGCAGCTTGTTGTGATGATAGTATGAAAATGTTTGGAGTCCTGGAGTTCCCCAGAAGAGAAAAATGGAATGGGGGCTCCACAGTAGCCAGGCCCTGCTGGAAGAGGAATTATTAGCAGCACATCTGTCATGTTTCTCTAGTTGAGAAGATTATCCAGGCTATAAGAGTATCTTCACGTGAGATGCAGAGAGAAGATAAGGGGAAGGATAGGCAAGTGAATATGTCCAATACATTACAATATAATCTGTAATATACAACCAAGCCATTAAGAGTGCTTAATGTTGAACACACCTTGCAGATTGATTGGAGACAACTGGAATTAGCTGTTCTTATTGTGAATTTAGGGTCAAATGTAGCTCTTAAAGAGTGACAGGCATCACAGGTAAAACAAAGTCATAGTATCTTAAGCCAAATTAAGTGGGTGACCAGAATAAACTACCTGGCACCTTGGAGTTTGTCCAACATTTTCCACTAGGCAGGACAGGTGGGAAACAGCAAGATAACTGGGGGATTGCTCTTAGCTTACCAGGTCTTCCTTTCTGGGGCCTTTGATGATGACCTTTGTTCACTGGAATGCAATCTTCTAAACTAAGACTCATCTTCTCTCTTCATTACTTTATTTCTCTAGCTAACTAAGGGCATAGAATTCACAGCAAAGTATGTTTTTATGGTACTACATTTTTATCTGATCCCTTTTATTTGGTCAATTTTCTTTGATGTCAGAGTTAGCTGTATTCAAACTAAACAATATGAATATGTTCATTTTTAGGGCAAGAGAGTAGTGGTGATTGGATGGTGGCAGTAGAGAGGCATAGGAAAGTTCACCAGTGGTAATTATGCAGGTGTGAAGTGGGGTGGCAGTGTGCGATGGCAGATTCAGATGAAGCTGCAGAGGAACTGAGAACACTGAGCAAATTTTAACATGTAGAGGGCGACATGGTATCAAACACTGATGGAAAATCAAATAGAATGAACACTGAGAAAGACCATGATTGAGTAATTAGAACATGATTCCAACGGCAGCTTTCTCTTTTCTTTCTCACTGTGTAAACATCTAGTCTTTGGTTTTAAATATTTCATCTAGGACTTCTAAGCCCTTATGTTAAATTTTGCATCTTTCCCAAACTCCAATTATGCATCAAACTGAAGATCATTGCAAATTTAATCTCATATTTTACTTGAGTAAATTCCCCATCATGCTAAGTAATCTAACTAGTAAATCAGGGTCAGAAAACACTCACTAGTGGGTCTTTTTTTACCCCTCCTTGTCCCATATCTCCATCATACTTTCAAATTCACTTAATACCTCTTCCTTTTAACTTTGGTGCTTCAATGGAGATTTGAAGATATAAAGGATATAAAGTTCATGTTATGCAAAGCTCTCTTTCTTTAGTATTTATTTTGGCTGTTGTATTTTACAAGATGTTAGATATTTCTATTATTGCTTCTAGTAAAATCATATATTATAACTCCTTTTAAAACCATATTTCCTTTTTAATAGGCATTCGATTGAAGTTTCACTTTTGATTTTTTATTTTCTTCATAGTCACTTATTTTAAATGAGTAAAAAGACCCTGATATATTTATATCATGACTTAAACATCCCAGACACTTTGATATGCCTGTTCCTATCTATCTTTTCCATTAGGTTTGCTATCATGAACATATGTCTTTCTTGGAAGAAGAAATTTGTTTCTGGCAGAGATTTTGTTTCCTCTACTCTGTGTCCATCCAATACCATATGGAACGAGATGATAAAATTATTGGATTTAACAGAACAGTGTGGGAGGTGAAAAATACCAAGGATTCTGTTGGCACAAATTAGTGGCTTCTGTCCCCTACTTTCTCAGTTATGATTCCTTTAGATTCCTCATTGTTCTCTCCGGACTCAATCACAACATAACATGCAAATCTATTGGCTTTTCTCAGTGTTCATCCTCCCTGAACTTTCTTACAGTATTTGACAAAACATATTCTAATTGTAGAGATCTTTCTTTTGATATCACTTTATCTCAGCTACCAGACTACAAGTGGAATCCTCATTTCTTTTCTCTGATTTGTCTTTTTCCCAGACTCCTCTTTATGGACTCCAACATGTGGCCTTTAACTAAAATCTCTTTCCTGTAATTCCTTTTTTTTTTTTAATATACTGTCTTTCCTTAAATGTATACTTCAATGTGCATAACTTTTTTTTTTTCTTTTTTTTAGTATCTGTGTTTGAACCCTGAGGCACATCCCCAGCTCATTTTTAATTTTTTTTTTTTTTTTTATTTTGAGACAGGGTCTTGCCAAGTTGCTGAGACTGGCTTTGAACTCACAATCCTCCTGCCTCAGCTTCCCAAGCCACTAGGATTATAGGAGTGCACCACCAAGCCTGGCAAAGTACATAACTTTTAGGTGTGCGTACATATATGTACATGGGTGCATATGTATATGTATAAATATACATACGTATATTTCCCATCCCTTTTGTTTCATTTATTATCACCTTTTTAATAAATATTGCAACTCTAACATACTTTAAAATATATCATCTACTCTACCAAAGTCAGTTCTTGCTCAGAATTCCTTGTATAATCAACATAATCACCTTGCCAATCCCAGACCAGGCCTTTATTATCTCATGCCTGAATTATTGAAATAACTTGGTAATTTTCTCCCTTTCCACCATAGAGTCCTTTTCTGGTAAATATAGAAATGCTATTTAATTTGATGAAAGCACAAATCTGATGATGTCAGATCCCCTGTGTCCTAACTTAAACCTGCTGAAGCTTCCCATTCACTGTAAAAGAAATCCCAACAACTCAGCATTGAGGGCTGGCTCCCACAGTGCATTCCAGGATGACTTCTCAGTTCTTCCCAGCACAGACTACTGATGAGTCAGAATGGTTGTCGGGCTAAATCCTAAAAACTTCTGCCTTATATTTGAGCTCCAACTTACTGAATAACATAAACTTCACAGAGCCCACCATTTTCAATCTGCAAGTTCTCCTCATCCTCTATAATATGTGTAATATGTGATGCATTCTGTCCTCGGAAAAGCCTCTCATACCAACCCAGTGGCACTCTTCTGATTGTGGGATTCATTCTGCATTTGTGATTTCATACCTTTTAATTATTAACTTCCTTTACAGAGGAAAAATAATCAAAACTTGACAGCACCAACTTAAAGTCCCGTTGTCTATAAAATTATGGGAAAAGATCTTAAGCAACTGATTCCATCCTGATAAGAATACATTACATAAGTGCTTTCTTTTCTTTTAGTACTGGACAATGAATAAGAGGGAGACAAAAAGTTATAGTGTTAACTATCCAGTTTGATCCACCAAAACTATGTCTCAAAAAAAGAGAAATAACATGAAAATGATTAGTCAATTAATTAATCACTGGCAGTGATTAGTCCAAAGCTAAATTATAGAAGTTTAATTAGTTCTACTATATTCATTGATGCTTACTAAGTTTTCAATATTTTCCCATAAATATCTAACTTTCTGACTCTAAATTTGGAAAATCATAGGTCATACAGGAGTTGGCCAGAGTTGAAAGCACCTGCTTCATTTGAAATTCTTACACATGATTCACTTTTCTAATTAAAATTGGCTGCCTGAACTGAAAGTTCCTTATGATTCTTTACTTTAGAAAGTAAAATAGTATTACCTAAGGAGACTATAGTTAATATATTACTTAAATGTAACTTAGGTGAATGTCAATAATATGAGAAAGTAACACAATGAATAAGCTAACTGTGCATATAAAAGTGCGTGTTAAGTTAAAGAAAAAAAGGAATCTTTCTAATTGCCTGTAGAATAATCCTTGCTTTAGGATAAAATTCAAAGCAGTGGGCCTAGAGATGTGGCTCAGTGGTAGAGCATTTACATATTGTAGAGGGTTCAGTCCCAGCATCCCTGCTCCACCTTACTCACCCCAGCTCCAGGAAGGAAG